CAAGCTTAGCAAAGCACAGGGACCACGGTTCAATCCCCCAGCACCACATGCCAGCCAGCCCTGCCCGCTGGTGGGCTGAGCTGGCCACACACACACACACACACACACACACACATAAAATTAAAAAAATAAATAAAAAAAAAATAAAAATTTCCTCTTCCACAGCATTGGGCACTTCTCAGTGGAGGTTCTGGAAATGATTTTTTAAGTATCTGTATGATCTGTATGGTGGTGTTTTCATTTCTGGAACAGAAATGTGCTCTAAAACTCATTTTACTTGGAAAACTAAAAAATCATAGGACAGGGCCCAGTGGTATGCACACATGTAGACTCAGCTATCTAAAGAGGTTGATGTATGAGAGTTGCTTAACTCAGAATCCTAAGGCTGGCCAAGGCAACACAGCAAGACTGCATCTAAAAAAATTATATGGCTCATAGTGAAAAATGGGTAAGGAATACAATACTCAAAAATTTTATGAAGGACATGGGAGAAGATAGAAACCCAGTAAAAATATTACAATTCTACATATATTAAATGGTTAAGACATAAATGCTGTATCTATGAAGACATCTGTTATGTATTGTGTATTTGTCTATATGACTTGGTTTGGTTGTGACATTTTCTGTTTACCTGTTTCTTACAACACTGCACATAAGCAAACTGAAGTTCACATTATGCTGAATTTTCTCTAGTATTTCAAACATGCTGGCTTAAGTTTTCATTTTCAACATAATATGCTGCATTTCCTACTAGGCTGTGTCCAGCTGAAGTTCAGGGGATTTTTCAGACATGGACTTAAAATGCACTCATCCTCCAACTGGGTATACCAGATGGCAACTCACTAGATGTCTAAGGGTCATGTAGTGGATTCTAATGATAGCTCTTCTAGTAGCTAATAGCTCCATTTCAAAGGGGGCCTACATTGTACACAGATCATAACCCCAAGTTCTACACTCTAAAGTGAACCTCCAATAAGCAAAACCATCAGGTCCAAAAACTTGTTTTTCTTATATTTCCAATGAATTCAGGCAGATGAAAGGGCCTCATGCTAAGTCATACATGGGCCAATCATTGGTGGCTGTGACAGAGGATTAGGTTCTACTAAATCCTTTTTCTACAACACATCATCAATGGAATAGTACCTTCTGGCAAGGCTAACACAGGATATTGCAAGCTTGAGCCATCCTACTATCATTCAAATGCAAAAACAATAGACTGATATGGCCCAAAGTTTCCACCACAGAATCCCCCTTCCTTTTTTTCCCATCACAATGTTTGCTGGAATAATGACAGCTAAATTCAGGTTCTTCTCTTCCTACAGAAGCACAGAAGCTAAATGGCCACTTGTCTCAGGCTGTAGCTTCCAAAAGATTTTGCTACCTCTTGGCTGGGGCTTTGAGAAAAGGAATCAAGGGTTAATGGA